CGAACAAATAATGGAAAAGTAAGATATATCGCATACAGCCTATCTGGAAAATGCAGTTAACAGTGGATTGAAAACACATGGTCATAAGTTAATCATCTCCTATGCCAATGTTTTGATGCCATCAAATAGCACTGTAACTCTTTTCTAATTGAATTAATTTTAGAAAGATACAAATGGTGATTCACTAGCATAAATACATTATTCATTTTTATTATATAATAATGATTATTAATTATATATTATTATAAATATTATATATAATAATATAATTATTATTAAAGATATCAGTACTAATTGTGATGAACCCAGGAATCTGAAATTGATTTTGCCTGAAAGTGCTAGTCGTATATCTATCTCTGTGCCCTGTGAATTTTTCTTTACTTCCTTTTCCTTTCTGTTTTTTGAACAGTACTGAGAATACTCTGATTTTCAAAGTTTAAGACCTGTCACTATTGTAACTATTAACAGTTTGCCTTGAAATCTCTCAGAATAGTCTCCAATTAAACTGGTTCTGAAACTTACACAGAAGAGTTGGCAAATTTCAGAGTTGCTCGTGAGCACTAACAGGTTTTCAAATTTCTTAACGTCTTAGCAATTGGAAGTTAGACAAGGAGAATTCTGCTAACACCAGTGCTACACCAATTTATAAAGCAATAATGACATCTCATGATATGCATTCGCATTTTATCCAACAAGGAACTGTTACGCCAAGATGAGACAAAGCATGGAACAACTTCAACTGAGCTTTGCCTTGCATTGAGTTGACCGCGTACCTGGGCACTCTAATAGCACACTTGCTGGTGCATTTCTATTTGACTAGACATGAACAGGTGTGGATTTTGTAGACCCTGCAACTTAGTCAACACCACATGCATAAAAAATTTAAAATAGACGAAAGTGGTTGCAGAGGAAGCTGTATCCTGAGAGCTACACTCCAGCAGCCTAACCTGGAAAAATGTAAATATTAGCAGCTAACATTTCATAGGTGCTTATTTTCCAGACACTCTGCTAAGTACTTTTCACATATTTGGTAGATCTTCACAACAACCATATGAGGTAGGAATAACTATTATCTTCATTTTACAGATGAGAAAACTGAGAGACAGAGAGAGTAATTATAGCCATGGATTCTGTGCATCAGACTTTAATAAGAAAACTTTTCTAGAATATCGTGCACGAGTCTTTTCTGACTTGGCTCTGAATTCCAAGCATTTAGGTAAATGCTCTTTAGTTCTGTAAGCTAAATTATACATGGTGGGTGTTAGAAAAGCCACGTTCAAGCTAGGAGCAGAAATTGGATTCTAGAAATTCATTTAGGTTGATGATAAAAATTAAGGCTTAATGTTCAAAACACATGAAAATCCCAAGGCAGTCTGTGTCCTTCCCACTGGCCTGGGCCATGCAGGATTGGCCAAGGTGAGGGAGGCGTTTCGTCCATTGCGGATGCCCTTCTGACAGCTGAAATGGGATTGGCACAGTCAGCCCTGGGAGAGGGGCTTGATCTAAATAAAACTGTACACAGGGACCCCTATGCTTTGACAAAAGGGACTAATAATGATCACCAACTCCTTTACATTTCTAAAAAGATTATAAAGACAAGAAAATGGTGTGAAATACCTAAGCTTAAACAGTGTGGTGTGCTATACAATAAGCATCAGGTAAAACAAGAACAGCTGTGAGACCAAATATAAATCTGCTGCATTTGCTAAAAGAATGCACTAAAAGCAGATGCTGGGATGAAAACTCAGGGCTTAGCAGCGAGTCTTCCACCTCACCAAAGGCCACAGACTCAGTGACTTAGTTTCCTTCCAGGGCTTAGTGAGATGACATCCCTGTGGACCAATACCTCTGGGATCTCTGTAGACTGAAGCCTTCTTATCCTCATGTCGTACATAGTCATGCACCACAAAATGATGGTTTGGTCAACAAAGGACTACATATATAGTGGTGGTCCCATAAGATTATAATGCTGTATTTTTACTGTACCTTTTATATGTCTAAATATATTATTATTTAGATGCACAAATACTTACCATTGTGTTCCAGTTGCCTACAGTATGCAATAAAGTAACATGTATAAGTTTGCAGCCTAGGAACAATAAATAGGCAACACCATATAGACTAGGCATAGTCTATACCATCTAGGTTTGTGTAAGTACATTCTTTGATGTTTGCACATTGACAAAATCGCCTACCACACATTTCTCAGAACACAACCCCACTGTTAAGCAATGCGTGACTGTACTTATTTAAAAAATACTTACATAGTACTTGCTATATTCTAGGTCCTATCCTAAGCGCTTTACAGATAGTAACTTATTTAATCAACAAGACAAATTTAGGAGGTAGGTGCTAGTACAATTATTGTCATTTCACAGTTGCAGAAGCGGAAGAGAAGTAATTTGCCCAAGGTCACAACACTAGTATGTGGACTTGAACTCAGACTAGCTCTACCTACTCATCCTTATCCAGCATGGTGTGTAAAGAGGATTTGAGAGGCAGGGGTGCAGAAATATGGTCGGTGACATTATCTTGGTTTTTACATACTTCTGAAGTACCACCAGAGACTGAAAAAGTTTCTAAACAAAATATCTGCATCTTGATGGTCTCTAGTATGAAAATAATGAAATTAAACACTCAATTAAATAAACTTCATAGTTTTGGAGTCTTAAGTTTCTAAGTAGTCTTGTTAAGAAAAGGTATGTGTGTATTCACACACATACACATTCAAATATATGCAAACATACATATATAATTTATAGTAATGTATCAAAAACAAACTGTGAATAATTTCTTCAACTGCAAAATTTGCTCATAAGCAGAGAAAGAGAAACAAACCCCAAGATCCCATGGAATAGCTTATAACTCTTTCTTTTCTTGGACTGGCTAAACTAACCGTGGTTTACAAAACTCTCAAGAGTGGGATGACAGCCCTGACCATGAGGGAAAGAGGGAACGTGGTCAGGTCCGTAAAGCCCTGTGACCACTGTAAGCCTTTCTTGAAGATTGTAGGCTAGCAAGGTGGAATTACGTTAAAAGTCTAAAGGTATCCTAGTAGGAAAGATGATTTTTTAAAAAATATGATCGAATTTGCAACCTAAAGGATCATTAGTTCAATATTGCTTTGTCTTTCTATTTTACATTCATTATATATTATAGAATCAGCAGCTGGCAGCTCCTTTTAACCATTCAGAGTTCATACAAATTCAAATTCATTGTTGGCTAGAAAAGTGTATTCCTTCCAGACAAGATGGCAAAGTTACTTTTGATTTCACTGGGGCCTCAGCTTGAAGAATTAAGATCAGAAATTTCCAGGCAGCCTGGTGGAAATTCTTGCGTGTTTAGAGATAGGCCGTTTGACCACCTGTGACTACCAGTCACAGGTAGGAAAAGGGTGTCCACTATACAAATGAGCAGACACACCCCGTGTCTGTGGAGTGCCTGCTGTTTGTCTGCACTGGCAGACACAACCACGCCCCGTAAAGACAGGTTCTGCCTTCGTGGAACTTGAGGCCTAGTCGGGAAGACGGACAGTCAAAGGATGGAGGTAGTGAGAGCATAATTAAAAACTGAGACCAAGGATCTAAAGAAAACAGGTCTTTGAGAGCGTGTAAATGAAGAAGTGGCCCAGAGTGGAGGCTTTGGGTGAGGGCAGCCTGGGATGGGTGTTCTAAGAAGCAAAGGAGGAACATTCCATACAGAAAAAAATGAATAAATAAAATAAAATAAAGAAGCATGGTATGTTAAAAGTTCTGTGATTGAAGAGTACGGTGCACTCAAGATGTGAACGACAACCCATACGGATGGAGCTCTGGGAAGGCAGGGCAGGGGCGGGTGGGGGGTCAGGGAGCTAGAATTGAGGGACAATTAGTCTAAAAACTTAGGCAAGCACAAAGCATGTGGGGTCATAGACTCCATTAAGCGTGGGAGTTTTATCATCAGACCAATGAGAAGACGCAATTGTGGAGTACTGTGGTTGAATGCGTTGCCAAGGAGCGAGGCTTTACACTGACATGAAAAGCAATGGTAGCTAGTTGTTCAATTTAAATAGCCTTTGAAAATCATGTAAAACACGAACATGCCTGAGCATATGGGTGGCTCTGGATCGTGGTAAGGCACGTCACAAACACAACTAGACCAAGGCAAATTTTCTGTAGCTTTCCCATTAATGATCATACATCTCCCCACACCCTTCAACCATCACCTTCTTAAATTTACAGCCAAGGTAATGATTTAACACATTGGACAGCAAGCAATTGGTTGATCTATTGATTTCCTTAGGAAGCAAAAGGAGACAAGGACATCTGTGGGGATGCTATCCAAACTACAAATAGCACAACGTTAGAATGAGGTTTTGCACCCTATTAGTAATTTGTCGATGTAAAGAGAGTGGACAAGGTAACATCTCTAGATCTTGGTCACTTGTCATTTGTGTTTTGTAAAACAGTATTAAGCAAGAAGGTCTCAGTTTTCGTGGAAACTCCACTCACTCCTTGGTAGGGATGGTGAAGGTGTACCTTTTTAAAAAAATCAATACAAAAGAGACATATTAACATAAAGACTTTTCCAATAAGGGCTCAGAATTTCAGTGCAGTAACAAATCATGTAGTGTTAACCCTCTTTTGTACGTATGGGAAATAAAAAATAAGCACATCTCACTCAAGATTACAAATCCCTGTGATCTTCATGTCTTCATATTTAGCTTCCATTTTGATTAAAAGTCTTTCAAGTCTGATTAAAGGTCTACCCTGAACTTTCACATAGGAGACTTCCAGGGCAAGCATATGCATGTATTCACCCAATGGCATGCAATCAATTAATAGATGCACAAATATCCAATAAGTGTGCAGAGTCATTCTGTCTTCCTTTTTATCAGAATGCCCTGCAGATTGCTTTGTTTTCTTTCCTAGCCATAGTCTTTCTTGACATCGCTTTAAGTGTTCAGACGCCCTCTGCGGTCATTTTATTTGTAATAGTGCCTTGTGTGTTGTGTCTCCTAGCTCTACATACAAACTACCACGCTTACAATCTCCATGAACCTAAGTGCGTCAGTGGCGCTGGGGATGCTATACATGCCGAAAGTGTACATCATCATTTTTCACCCTGAACTCAATGTCCAGAAACGGAAGCGAAGCTTCAAGGCGGTAGTCACAGCAGCCACCATGTCATCGCGGCTGTCACACAAACCCAGTGACAGACCCAACGGTGAGGCAAAGACAGAACTCTGTGAAAACGTAGACCCAAACAGTAAGTAACTCTCCTTTCCTTCCGTCTTCCCCTTCTGCATCAGGAAGCTCTAGAAAATGTGGTGTGTGCTTGCCTCTTTTTGGGAAAATATCGTGACCGTTCTGTTCTTGGGGACTGGGTTGCTCTGGCGAATGCTAACTTCTGCTTTTTTGAGTTTGACTCATTCCTGCCACCACTTTCATTTCGCTCCCTGTTAGAAAGAAGCTTTCAGAGGCTTTGCTTCAGAAGTGTGAGGCCTCTCCCTTCCCTTGCTTCTTGTCCTTTGGTACTGAACCCTCCAATTGACATAAACACACTGATCAGGCTGTGAGCCACCTTTCTTGCAGCCTTCCTG